AAATCACTGATTTTTATCAAAAAAATCAAGTTGATTTAAATAAAAAAAATCAACTTTTTAAAATCAACCTGATTTAAATCAACCCAACCCTGTATATGCATGGAGTTGAAATTGCCTTAGATGAACAGACATTAGGGAGAAAAGTGGTGAAAAACACACAAAGGGGGGAATGGGAAGTGACTGTTTGTACAGGTGATTGTCTTGTACTCGTGGTAATTTGTACTGGCGGGTAGATGATTGTCTTAAACAGGTGATTGTCTTATACAGGTGGCCGTTTGTACAGGTGATTGTCTTTTATACTGGTGGTCGTTTGTACAGGTGATTGTCTTTTATACAGGTGGTCATTTGTACAGGCAGGGTTGGGTTGATTTAAATCAGTTGTGTTTTCAAATTTAAATCAACTTGATTTTTAAAATAAAAATCAGTGATTTAAATCACTTTAATAATTTATTGTTATTCAGGATTTACACATTTCAACATTCAGAATTACTTTCCTTGGTTTCATAAAACAGATATAAGGTTTAGTAGACTAATATAATCATGCTTAAAAGTCTGCTTTCCCCCCTTTCGCTGTAAAATAATACAGTATTCAATTTACTTTTTTTCCATAATTGAAATCAGAGCTGGGTGATTTAAATCAGTTGATTTTTAAAAATATTTTAATCAACTTGATTTTTAAAATAAAAATTAGGGATTTAAATAACTTTTCAAAAAAATGTATTCAGTTTTTACATATTTAAACATTCAGAATTCCTTTCCTTGGTTTTATCAAACAGATATAAGGTTTAGTAGACTAATATAATCATGCTTAAAAGTCTGCTTTCCCCCCTGTCGCGGTAAAATAATACAGTTCTCAATTTACTTGTTTTTCATAAATTGAAAACCAGGGTTGGGTTGATTTAAATCAGTTGATTTAAAAAAAACTGAAATCAACTTGATTTTAAAAATAAAACTCAGTGATTTAAATCACTTAAAAAAAATGTATTCTGTTTTTACATCTTTAATAATAATAATAATAATAATAATAATAGATAGCATTTGTATAGCGCATATCCCCGCTCAACAGCAGGCTCTATGCGCTTTACACTATATTATTACCCCAGCAGACCATACAACACTCCGAAACATTCTCAGCTTCCCGGGAAGCATGTCTTGAAACATTCAGAATTCCTTTCCTTGGTTTTATAAAACAGTGTCACTGTAAAATAATACAGTACTCAATTTCCTTTTTTTTCATAATTGAAAACCAGGGTTGTGTTGATTTAAATCAGTTGATTTTTAAAAAACTGAAATCAACTTGATTTAAAAAATAAAACTCAGTGATCTAAATCACTTTAAAAAAAAGGTATTCTGTTTTTACATCTGTAAACATTCAGAATTCCTTTCCTTGGTTTTATAAAACAGATAAGGTTTAGTAGACTAAAATTGCTTAAAAGTCTGATTTCCCCCCTGTCACTGTAAGTGTAAGTAGTAAAGTAATACAGTATTCAATTTACTTTTTTTTTCATTATAATTGAAAATAGCATTTTCTTTTTCTTTTTAGACAAACTCAAGCGCGCGCACACACACACACACACTGTAATAAAATGCAAGTTTATCATCTATGCATAATTACCCCCCCCCCCCCCCCCTTCCTTTTAGACTGACATTTTCTTCATTTTTTTGTCTGTAGCCATAATTCACTGATATAGCAGATTAAGGCTTTCTAAAATTGCAGTTGCATAGATTAATCATTAGTTAAAATAAAGACAATGCATTTTGCACTAAAAGAACATACTTTTAGCACCAAAAATCCCAAACTGTGTCGACAATTTTTAAAAAATAAAAAAATATAAAAAATCCGATTTAAATTTAAAAAATCTGATTTAAATCCAAAAAATCGATTTTTAAAATTTTTATTTTAAAAATCCCAAAAATCACCAACCCTGCTGATTGTCTTGTACTGGTGGTCGTTTGTACAGGTGATTGTCTTATACAGGTGGTCGTTTGTACAGGTGATTGTGTCTTATACAGGTGGTCGTTTGTACAGGTGATTGTGTCTTATACAGGTGGTCGTTTGTACAGGTGATTGTCTTAAACATTTGATCGTTTGTACAGGTGATTGTCTTGTTCAGGTGGCCAGTTGCACAGGTGATTGTCTTGTACAGATGGCCGTTTGTACAGGTGATTTTCTTATACAGGTGGCCAGTTGCACAGGTGATTGTCTTGTACAGGTGATTGTCTTATACAAGTGGCCAGTTAGGTGATTGTCTTGTACAGGTGATTGTCTTATACAAGTGGCCAGTTAGGTGATTGTCTTGTACAGGTGATTGTCTTATACAAGTGGCTAGTTAGGTGATTGTCTTGTACAGGTGATTGTCTTATACAAGTGGCCAGTTAGGTGATTGTCTTGTACAGGTGATTGTCTTATACAAGTGGCCAGTTAGGTGATTGTCTTATACAAGTGGCCAGTTAGGTGATTGTCTTGTACAGGTGATTGTCTTATACAAGTGGCCAGTTAGGTGATTGTCTTGTACAGGTGATTGTCTTGTACAGGTGGCTGGTGGAGCAGGTTTGACTGTCCAGCACATACATTCAACAAATACGCCCATAGCAAAGAGGCTTTCAGTTCCTGAATCTCTTCTTAAATAAATCTTATTCTTCCTTTGTATTAAGAACTCCCACTTAGAGTAATTTGTACAAAACAAAGATCTCTTTGTCAGGGTGGTTGGGTTGATTTAAATCAGTTGATTTTTAACATTTAAATCAACGTGATTTTTAAAATAAAAATCAGTGATTTAAATCACTTTTAAAATTTATTTTTTTAATTCAGTTTTTACATATTTCAACATTCAGAATTCCTTTCCTTGGTTTCATAAAACAGGTATAAGGTTAAGTAGACTAATATAATCATGCTTAAAAGTCTGATTCCCCCCCCCCCCCCTTTCACTGTAAAATAATACAGTATTCAATTTACTTTTTCCCCCATAAAATTGAGAGCTGCGTTGATTTAAATCAGTTGATTCTTTTTATTTTAATCAACTTGATTTTTAAAATAAAAATCAGTGATTTAAATCACTTTTAAAAAAATGTATTCAGTTTTTACATAAACATTCAGAATTCCTTTCCTTGGTTTTATTAAACAGATATAAGGTTTAGTAGACAAATATAATCATGCTTAAAAGTCTGCTTTCCCCCCTGTTACTGTAAAATAATACAGTATTCAATTTAATTTTTTTCCCATAATTGAAATTAGCATTTTTTTTTTCTTTTTACACAAACACAAGCGCGGGCGCACACACACACACACTGTAATAAAATTTTATCTATGAATAATTACACCCCTCCCCCCCCTCCTTTTAGACTGACATTTTCTTCATTTTTTGTCTGTAGCCATAATTCACTGATATAGCAGATTAAGGCTTTCTTTTGCAGTTACTTAAATTAATCATTAGTTAAAATAATGACAATGCATTTTTCACTAAAAGAACATACTTTTAGCCACCAAAAATCCCAAACTGTGTCGACATTTTTTGAAAAATAAAAAAACTCTGATTTAAATTTAAAAAATCTGATTTAAATTTAAAAAATCGGTTATTTTTTGTATATTTAAAAAAAAAAAAATCACCAACCCTGCTCTTTGTGATCCAAAATCATTAATAAGAGTTATGATTCTGCCGCCACCAAGGCAAAATTCAAAATTTCCTACTGACTGAAAATGTACATGTGTTCCGCGTGCTCATATGACCTTATGCTGTTGCGAATGCCGTAAAACACTTACTAAAACAAACAATTACTTTGCTTTGCTGAAAGAGGTTACAACAGTGGCAAAAGAAATATATATATGTATTGTTACAGAACTTTGGCGGGGGGGGGGGATATTAATGTTCTTTTAGCACTGTAGAATTGTAAATGGGCTGATTTATCAAAGTCATGCTCATACTGTGCTGTCATTTTCCCTCTACTTCTTTTGTAAGTTTGTCACTCTCTTGTGAACCGCTATTTCCTGGGTGCCTTGATAGTCGAAGCAGACTTTGTGCTGTTGAGGCTAGAGAGGTGAGCAGAGTAAGCCTGATTCCCCATTTAGACTTCTCTGTTGACATCCACCCCTTGGTGCTCATATATGGCCTTTGCAATTGCAAGAGCCGTTAAACCTTATTAAAACAGTATCATGAGAAATGTGTATTGAGATGTTCCAGTATTGTGAGCAATGTGTATTGAGATGTTCCAGAAGTTTGTCCTTTGTCTTCCTCCACCCAGGCTGCCGTCCAGGACACGTTCAACGAGCAGGAAGGCGCTCCCCCGGTGTTCTCGCGGCCGCCGCGACAGGAGGAGAGGCCGCCCCAGGTCAACCTGCAGCCCACCAATCAGAGGTAACTCACTACACTGCTACACCTCGTCTACCGACATTGCTCTGGCTTCCTGTTGAGAAAAGAATTGTGTACAAATTGGCCACCCTAGGCCACAATAAATGCTTGAATGATTTAGCGCCATCATATTTGTCAAATTTGATGAATCTGTATGTTCCAACTTGCTGTTTAAGGTCATCAGCTGACAGAAAGAAATTTCTTTTACCATCTATGAAACTTGAAATAATGGGTGAAAGGGCATTTGAATATCAAGGCCCCAAGATCTGGAATGCTTTACCAAGTACATTGAGAGAAATCAAATCTTTTGATTCGTTCAATTGTCAGCTGAAGTCATTTCTGTTTTTAAATAAATAAAATGAATATTTGGAGTGATTTTCTTTTCGTTAGAACACACGTTTTATGTCACTGTTGTACGTTGTACTGTATTGTAAAGCTCTCAGAGCCTGCATACTTTAAATGGGGTTGAGCGCTATGTAAATGTCATTATAATAATATTTTTAAATGCTGAATCTTCCAATGGTGTTGGTGTGTGTTAACTCACCCAGCCCTATCCCAGATAATATCGGTATGAGCGCGCAGCGCTCCAACCCCAATGTCAACAGTATCGGTAATATAAAAAATAATAGTGTTAAGCTAGATACATACTCAGTATTCTGATTGTAACTCAAATGTTTTTCTCATGCGTACTCTAAGGTCATATGAATACTTGTAACTATTACTTACTTACTTTACTTTTTCATCCTCTGTTGCCGTTAAACGTCAAGGGGAGATGCAGTTTTCTATGGCAGGCCAGCTCCGCAGCTCTTTCAGTTGTTCCTATTACAATTGTTGTTATTATCATTATAATCAATATGATTGTGGTTGTGGTTGCCAGAGTGATCCTGTACCCGGGCCATCGACCACAAGGCATCTTCCAGTGGACCTACTACCTGCTCACCATGCCCATCCGATTTGTCTGGGGCACGTTCTTCGACATCATCAAAGCATTCAGTGAGTCCCCACACACACACACACACACACACACACACACACACACACACACGCTCACACATACACTCACTCACGCACACACACACGCTCTCACACACACACACACACACACGCTCATGGGGTCTAGCACACCTGCCACATACTTCCATTTATCAGAGCTGTCTGGGGGTTTGGGCTTTGTTGTTGTTTGGTTTTTGGTTTTTTGGGAGGTGGGGGGGACAGTGCTGATAAAAAAAATCCTGATCGGATTGGCTTTAAATTTTTTAAAAGATATTTGGAATTACATCAGGTCGTACATGACTTATTGTACATGATTGGGAAAATTCACTGTTTTTAATTCAACGCTTGGTTTTTTGTTGTTGTTGTATTTACAATACACTTTTATCTGCCGTGATTGATTCGTAACATAGACTGAATCTACCGGGTGTTCTGGTGACTGGGGTTTTTTTTCCCGCCCCAAACTCCATTGTTAGGGAGTGCTGAGAAAAACTCTTATTGTTGTTGGGGGGAGGGGGGAGCAGGTCTGCCGTAATTTGATACCAAGAAAGATTAAAAAACAAACTGTGGCTGCTATAGCATCAATGTACAATAAATTTCCATTGAAGGTTTCAATAGAAAGCTGCTGATGTCTCTCCCAATAGAAAGCTGCTGATGTCTCTCCAACTTACAATAAACACTTGAAACTTGACATCAAATTTTTAAATCTTTTTTGGTATCTGTAGTCTAGTGACTTGGCTAACAGGCTTGTTACGTTGAAGGTACAGATTCAGGAATTTTGGGTTCGGCTCAGTCTCTTAGTGTGTCCTTGACACTTTTCACAATTGTTTTCCCCCATTTGGCTCAGTTCTATAGAAGATGGACGTTCTATTCCGAGGTCCCACCGCCTAAATATCCTCACAGCGTTGCAAATATGTGAGGCAGCGTGGTGGAATCAGGTGCTTGTCAATTTGGGGGCATATTGAGTGATTGATATCATCTTAAACCCTGTTTCTTTTGCCTTGCTTTTGATGAAACATATATCCATTTATCATGAATACAAGTCAAGATACTGGCGATGGAATGGGGTGGTGGGGGAGGGGGGTCGCCTTGTTTCAGAGCAAGAAAATGGCAGCCAAATTTTATTGATTTCCTGAACTGGAGAGTCAGTGGAAACTGAAAACTTACATCTTTTATGCCTCTAAGCAACTTTTTTCTGTAAAATATACACAGAAACGTGTTCTTTACCACTTTGCCGCCTCATCTCGCCGATTGGCGATTTTTACCACCCAGTTTCTTTGGATTTTTCCCAAAATATAATGGCGAAGTGTTCATGAGCATGAAAGGTGTTGAGCCAAAAACACAAAAAATTCAAAAATAATTAGTGAACCGGTGGAAAAAATTGTATTCTTCAATTTCATTATTTTGAGGATCACCTGATTCCAGCATGATGCCTCGCCTATGTGCTGTCAGTATTTACTCCTTGCAATGCTTTCAATATGATTGTTTGAAAATTGCTTTTTTTCTTTTTCATTTTTTCACAGTCAGTTTCATTCGCCCAGACCCTAGGAGAAGTAAGTGGATTTTTCAGTTTTTGTAGATATTGAATAACGATGATGATAATAATTGAAAGTTGAAAGTCCTCTTTTTTTTTTTTTGAAAGATCTTTGATGATTTGTTTTAAGCATATTTTTTTAAGTTAATTTGAGAACTTTTATAAATATTGGGTGAAACAGATTTTCAAGTGGTAGTTCTATGTTCTTAAAAGGAAAAGAGGAAATCGTCTTATAAGAGCCAGATCTGCGTAGACTGATTTTTGGCGCGAAAATTTTTTTTTTAACCTATCGAAAGCGCGTTTCATGGGCTTCATTTCTGTATACGTTTCATCGAGTTCCCCGCCTTAAAATCGCTATAAAAAAGCAAATAACTGTTTCACTTTGCTTCCAAATGAGCTCATCTTGAGATGTGCGGAGTGGATTTCAGTATTGTTACAATTTGGATGAGGCAACAAGAATTACTACAGACCCGACAGTAAAGCCAAGAACTCCTCAATCGCGTATCATGTGATACGCTTTTAGGGCTTGGTCGTTTCCCGTGTGTTGATCATTCATACATGCCTACATTAATCAGTTTTTTGTTCCCCCTGAAAAAATTTGCTAAAACCTTGATATGTTGAACTGGCTCTCGTAGGACAAAATGATAAATGGATTTTGTGATGGTAATTACATGCCAATAGGAACATGTGACTCTCATTGATGATCAAGTGTGTGCTCTGGTGGGGTCTGCTCCTTCTTTCCTATCAAACATCTATCCTCTTTATCTCTCCTCCTTCTTTCCTATCAAACATCTATCCTCCTTATCTCTCCTCCTTCTTTCCTATCAAACATCTATCCTCTTTATCTCTCCTCCTTCTTTCCTATCAAACTTCTATCCTCCTTATCTCTCCTCCTTCTTTCCTATCAAACATCTATCCTCCTTATCTCTCCTCCTTCTTTCCTATCAAACATCTATCGTCCTTATCTCTCCTCCTTCTTTCCTATCAAACATCTATCGTCCTTATCTCTCCTCCTTCTTTCCTATCAAACATCTATCCTCTTTATCTCTCCTCCTTC